GGCAGGGCTGAGGCTCAAGGAAAGTGGCAGCTGCATTGGGGGTCCCGTTTTCAGAAATGGCTGGAAGGCCTTGAGCCTTGGTTGAGCCCCCTCTTAGCTTGAATCAGGGCCTAACTTTGGCCTTGATTTCCCCCCTTCCCCCTCCCCCCCCAATTTGTGGGGCCAAGAGAGGGCCCCATAGTGTGCAGTCGGGTAACAGCTAACTTAGCAGCACAACCTGCATCCACAAGCCCGGTGACTGACAGCATGTGTGGAAGTGCAGTCTGCATATTCATATTGGGGAAAGGCCCTTTCATAATGCAGTTTGACCACAGATGTTCTCTTTGGCATGGAAAGGCCAGTTTAGTGCCTGCAAACAGGTGTGTGCTGTAACAATTGTTGGTGCAAATATATACGTTAACTGAAAAATGACCCATTGGAGAAGATTCAGAGTAGCAGACGTGTTCGTCTGTATCTGCCAAGGTGCCACAAGTCCTCCTTTTCCATTGGAGAAGGTTATCATCTCCCCTCCACCTCCAGTTTGTTTGTTATGGTTATGTTTTTAGGGTAGCAAAATAGTTATACAAGAGACACACACACTGTATTTCAAACAAAGATATTGGTGTTGCTACTGCTAGCTTTTGGTTTTCCACGAAAATGGTGAGAGAGACAAGCTTTCTAGTTACACAGTGCTCTGCCTTGTCCCCAGGCCAGTTTCCTGCTTCTTCAGTAGTACTGGTAACTTTTTTTAAGTACTGGTGATTTACTTTTATTGACAACTGGATGTACTTCTCCAGTACAAATATCACACTGGCTGTTCAACGCAACATCCCATATCAGACAGGGGGGACTGCAGGATTTACCCCTAAATAAAGCAGAAATGTACAAGGCAAAAACTACCTTTTGCCCTAACCATTTCCTCTTCTACAACTTTTTTAAACAAATGGGGGAAAATGACGGGGGTGCGGACTGGGTAACAAGCTGAATGGCTGAACTGACATACCGTCTGGTACAGTAATAAATACATTCAGAAATAATCTGCACATATACTTGTCCAAGGATCTCAAAGCACTTGACAAATAACTAATTAACTGGGGCAGGGACCATCTTTTTGTCCTAGTTTTGTACAGTGCCATACCTGACGGCAGTCCCGTGGCTTCTGTCCCACTGAAAATGATGGGAAATAGGCATCTTCTTTACGGGCAACTTTACTTCCACCAGCAAGGCCTTAGGGAACTGATGTCTGTTTGATCTGAGGCAATATAGCTTCACTCTGTGGAAGGTATTGGGAGATGGGGAGCCATTTTGAATAAGACCAAAAGTTTGTGAGAATGCTGCATACAGGTAGGAGATCATGAGAATCTGTGAATGCCCCATATCAACTATAGATGGAGTGAAGAAGATAGGATAGATGGAGCAGGGGATGGGCTGAGATGTGGAGCAGTAACTCATGGGAAATGGTCATTAGAACAAGAGGTCGTGGGAGCCTGGAGATGTGGGAATCAGGTAAAATGAGGAACACAGCAGGAAGGCACTGGAAAGGAAAGGTGCGGAGCACTAGGGATATGGGTTCAAGTGGAAGAGTAGCAGCAAAGATAGGAGTGTGTGCCTTTGGTGGAGCTGCAGTATAGAGTAGTAGATACATTTGTGGGGCAGGGTTCACTGAGGCTGAGCTGTACATCTCTGTTTAGCTTAGGGTTTTAGATAGTGCCTATCACTTCAGTATATACAGCCTCACTCCTGCTCAGACTTACACATGTGTAATTTTACTCATGTGAATAATCCCATGGCTTGGCATTAAAATGGCATGTCCGAGTCAAAGGTTAATAATAAATACAGTTTATTTTGTAAATTACTTAAGTGTATAGTGTAAGGGGCTGAGCTAAAATCTGGAAGCTGCAGTCCTCTGATTTACCCCTGTAAAGGTCTATGAGCCACCTATATCCCATTTAAGGCCCCAGTCCAGCAAAACATTTAAATATGTGCTTAACTTCATCCCTGTGCAACAAAGCACACAAGCACATGCTTGAATGCCATTGAAATCAATGGGATTTAAACTCTTGCTCAAAATTAAACGTGCTTAAGTGCTTTGCTGAATTGGGGTCTGTATCCATAGGGTGTGTAAGCCTGGCACTGACCTTCTGCATAGAAGTGAATTTCAACCCTAGAAATAGGTCTAACACAGCAGCAGTAGTGTGAGCTTCCCTTACAATGACCTGCCAATATATTTTACCTTTGGCCTGAAGGGATCACATTCCATCTTAAAGTTTGTTTAATTTTTCACCTTTGTGCTGAGGCTGCCCACAAGTCCTTGCATTTTCAGCATTACATGGGGATTTATCCAGCCAAATCCCATTAGAATCAATAGGAATTGGGCGAATAAATACACTGCAAGTCTTTGTAAGCGTAGGGCAAGTTTGCCAGTTACTGCAGCTTGTGATGATGATTTTTGTGGTATAGACACACGTGTCCACTGGGAACTGAACTAAGACCACCAAGTTATTTCACATATTTGTATATTTTCCACGTTTACATGCAGATAACTTCAAAGAGCTGTGAGTTGATGACTTCTAGTCTAGTGTGTTAGCAGTCCACCTACTCTCCATCTTTTGTTGTTTCCTTTCACAGTCTCAGTAACAAAAAACAGTGGTGTAAATAGAAATTCCAACAATGAGGTCTGTTGTTGAGCTTGTAATGCTCACTTGAAAGGATGCTGTCTGGAGTGTGAATGGAGCAGCCGCTGCCTAGCAGTAGCAGGGAAATAGATGACTTGGTACTGGAGAGTAGCAACCAGCAGGGTGCATATGCCTAGTGTAGTGACAAATAATGGTTAATCTGGCCAGTTGGAGGACTAAATGAGAGTACATTGTTTAACCCTGTAACCGTAACTAAATTGTAACCTGAAAAGAGTTTATAATCATCTGGCTGCTACCCCATATCAGAGGCTTAATAACTAAATAGCTGATTTGAGGTTCAGATTTAAAGCTGCAATTTGATTTATTACTTGGTAGTATTATCCTTATGCAGATTAATTGCTTTGCAGATTATCTAATATATTGGTTAAATTGTTGTTTGGATTCCTGTGTGTTGCTGTGAACTCAGTTTTCACAAGATTAGTGTCCTCTGATTGCTATTATAATCCTATGATGATTGTCTAATATTTGTGAGTTAGTAAAAGAGATGAGTTAATGTTAACTTGATAGCTCTATTACTTTTATAGAATCTTAATCCAATCATGTGTCTATATGTATCAAATTCAGTAACTGCTGTGTTAGAATCTTTATCCAAATTGAAATTCAATAATTGGCATATTCGTATCTCAATTTCATGATTTCTAACTTTTTAGAACTAATTAATGGGCTAGCACAATGCAAACAATGCAAGCAACAATTTTTGTTCTTTTTTAATACGGTATTTTATTCCATGATAACCAAGTAAATTTATTGATTACTTTTATATATTGTAGACTAACCTCTTTAGCCTCATCATAGCTTCTGTTGTTGATATACATTGCATTTATGTGATCTGCAATCTAAATTTTGAAGACATGTACTGTAGTTAGGGGAACCTGTTCCTTATTAAAATAATATGCTGTAGCATTGATATTTCTGTAGTTTGAGTTTGTTACTATTTCAATTACAAAACCTTTATTATTTAGGACAAAAGAATTTCCGACGGAGTGAAATTTCACATACCAGCACCCTCAATGCTCCCCTCTAACTGTCCAAAATCAGTATGAGTACCCATAGTCTTTTTACCTTTTTAACACATCTTTTTTTCCAAGAGATTTCCTAAAGAGGGAAGGATTGTATATTTGAGGAAGACCTTTAAAAAATGAAAAGTGTTCTCCCATCTATTCCTTAATGACTTCTAGTATCTTTACTGACAGGTTTCAGAGTAACAGCCATGTTAGTCTGTATTCGCAAAAAGAAAAGGAGTACTCGTGGCACCTTAGAGACTAACACATTTATTTGAGCATGAGCTTTCGTGAGCTACAGCTCACTTCATCGGATGCATTCAGTGGAAAATACAGTAGGGAGATTTACTGGCATCAAAGTAAAACTAACAGGCTGGTAGTGGAGTCAGCTCTTATATTCTATCTGAAAACTGTAGTATTTTCCCAGTCCTCAGGTAACCCCCCTGTTCCTTGATGTACTGCAAAGTTTAGACAAGTAACTTCTATTTCCTTTGTTTCTTTCAGGACCAGCCAGTCCAAAAAAGAATTGATTTAAAGAGATGTCTAGTATAATATCTTGTTTTTTCTGTTGGCTTACACTGGATGCTTGAGATGAAAGTGAAAAACTCCCATAATGCACCTGGCCAAAGCTAGCCCTAAGCATGTGCCAAGGGTGTGATCACATGGTTCCGCAGTGCCAGTTAAAGCAAATTTGGGCCCCTCTACTAAGGTTATGCGGTGGTATTTTTTGTCCCCCCCCACCCAGAGGTGAAAGTAACTTAAAGGACTTACCGGTACTCCGGAGTCCTGATAAGGGGGCGTGGCCTCAACCGGAAGAGGCGGGGCCTTTAAATCCCCAGGCACTTTAAATCAGGATTTAAGCTTCTGTCCCCATAGGAGAGAGCGGGGGGTGGAGAAGAATGGCCAGGGCCCCTTCCGAGCGTGGACCCTTTAAATAGCCGCTGGAGCCCCACCGCCGCCACCCCAGGGCTCCAGCAGCGGGGCTCTGGTGGAAATTTAAAGGGCCCGGGGCTCCAGCCACTGCTGGGAGCCCTAGACCTTTAAATTGCCACCTGGGGAAGCCGGTCCGCCCCGGTACGGCGCACTGGCTCTTGCCAGTACACCGTACCGGGGCATACCGGCTTATTTGCACCTCTGCCCCCACCCCCAGTTGCAATCCCACTGCCTGCTGCAAGGCTCATACTCTAAACTTATGACATTAGAGAATGAGCAGTAGATGTCAAACTGGCATTTAAGACTGTCTCTGGTGGGGTGGAACTGGCTGCAACTCCAGATTTGGTAGGCAAGCCTGACATGACCTATACATGCCCACAGCTTTCCACACCTGATGGTCTGCATGCAGGGCCGGCTCAAGGCACCAGCGTTCCAAGCAGTGCTTGGGGCGGCAGTTAGAAAGGGGGGACAGTGTCTCCGCGGCGGTGGCAATTCGGCGGCAGCAGCTCCTCTGTCCCGCCGGCCATGGCGGCAATTTGGCGGCAGCTTCTCAGTTCCGCTACCAGCAGCAGCTTCTCCCTTTTGCTGTCTGCGGTGGCAGTTCTTTTCACTGCTTGGGGTGGCAAAAGCTGTAGAGCTGGCCCTGTCTGCGTGACTCACCATCCTCGCCTTGAAAGATTATCTTCAATGGCCAACCCTTCTCTGCTTTTCCAGTGATCAGCACTCTTACCTGTCGGGCATCACCCACCACCACCGCTAGCTGTCAAAACCCCCTGTGGCTCCCGAGCAAATAATACCCAGATTCTTTCCCACCTGACACAAACATCCTGTCACCCCCTAAAGTACCTCCAACACATCCAGCTGCCAAACCTTCATCACCTCCCCCCAAATGTGCTGCCAGTGATCTGAATGTTGTGCTTTGCACAAGGCTTCACAAAACCTAGGCCAGCTCTGCACCTAACTGGTTGTGCAGCACTGTACTCTGGGGATCTCTTCCTGACATCAGTTGATTATCCTCCTCTTATGCCTTGAAACAGTAGCAGTCATTGTTTTTCTAGCTAGTGAACCTCGGATGCTATTCTTATTCACAGACAAGTGCCTTTTGCTTTATTTAATCTTATTAATTTATTTTTAATTATTTAAACAAATAGTTGCATCAATAATATCTTACAGCGGTAATTTCAGTAGTTCAGTAATATGTTACATTAAATCATTTTTATGCATCTATTGTAAATGTTTGCCTGCTAATTTCACGGAATGCTTACTGGTTGTATTATGGGGTAGGGCAAGCAGGAGAGGCCAACTTGACCTACCTGTGACATTAATTATTTTATATACAGTACCTCTCTTATGACAGTTCCAAATTAAATAATCCTAGTGTTCAAAGGTCAGATATTTGAAGGTGCTCAGTTTTGGTCTACCTCTGCTCTCACTGAAGTCAATGGAGTTTTACCGCTGATTTCAATAGGAGAAAATTTAGGTCAGCAGTGAGCACTTGAAAATCCCATGCTAAATCTCTACAGACATGGAAAGCATCCTGCTCCTTAGCAAAGACTCCAGTAAATGGTGGTGTCTTTTTCTTGATGTTTTCTGAGTCTCCAATGGCTGTCTTGGAATGAGGTGTTAAAAACGGAATGCAGCAGTTCTAGATCTTCTAGATTGCCTGCGTGTCTCTTTCTCTCACACTCATTCTCTTGTCTCTTTTTCCTGAGAATAGCAATCAGGAGTTCCAGCTCAAATATCGTCAGCAGGGGATCCAGCCAAGAGGACTTTAATATATGAAAAATATAAATCTCAGTAATTTAAAATGTGTTACAGCCCTCTCTGAGCTACCTGTATGGGACCCTGCCTTTGGATCCCACATGCTTTCTAAACTTACTGGGTCTGAGCAGGGTCCAGACACTATCTCTATATCTGGCCTTTCAGATATACTCCTGGGATACAGACATCAATGCTGGTACCCCTTCCTGGGAGGTAGGGCCCTAAGCGCCAAGACCAGCACTGACCCTCCAAGATTCTCCGGTAGCTCACACATATCCTCTCCAGAGGTTCATCCTTGTGAGTTCTCTGTTTATCATTTAATTCTTCAAGGACTACATGGCAGTTAAAGCAAGGGACACACACATTTTGCAAAGAATTTCTAAACCACACACCCTTTACTTATAGACAAAGCACAAGAGTTACAGGTCTATGAAAAACTGTCAAATACTTGAACACAAGACCATGCCTCCGTTTCTTTATCTGTCAAGAGAGCCCTTTGGGTCTTAGTCTGTATCCTTCCAACAAGTTCAGAATCCTTCTGCACCTTCTCTTTTCTTGCTCAGTCTTATCATCTGGTTCTGGTCCAGTCTGGTCACTCCTTGCTAGAGATAATCTCCCTTTTAACAGTAGATTCTAACTCCTTTGTGTCTTCGTGTCCTTCCCCTGAGATTTTTCTATTCTCCAGTCCTCTGTGTTTGTTACAGTGGATCAGAGTCATTAGCACATCAATAGCCTTTGTCTGGTAATCTCCATTGTCCTGCTAGGACCCTGGCTCTGTCCTATGCTGGTTGTGCCTGCCTTGGGCTTGGACAAAAAAATAACAGGTTTGGACACCTGTATTACTGGCTACATATCAAGTGACTACACTATCTACAACTATTGTCTGCCTTCCTGCAGATGAATAATCCTCCGGCACTAGGTTAACTCTTTGACCCTATATAGCAGACATTGTGATAGGAATCATCTAGACAGAGGTACATGTAATAATTAAGCGTTAGGACCAAACAAAATTGTGGAAGCCTGAAAGATTTCTGGAAGCTCAATTCAATAGCTAGGGTTGACTTTAATGGGAGATTTTCTTGCACAAGTGTAATGGAATTGGGTCCATAATGTTATGAGCTGGGTGAAACCTTGTTATGGGTTGAGTTAAATCCCTACTGAGATTATGGTTTAGCATAAGCCCTCACCTAAAACAAGGTATGTGTGAAACTGCCCAGAAACTTTTGTCTGAGTGTTGTTTTGGGAGGGGCTTGTGAGTATGGGAAGAGGATAACACAGAAACTGAGAACAGACAAAATCAGAGAGAGAAGGACAGGTAAGAATGCCAAGCAATAGCCTGTGAGCACAGTATAGGCCTGGAAAAAGCTAGAGAGAAGCCTTTTGCATCTGGTGTTGGCTTAAGAGGCTTGGGGACAGTAAGCTAAGAAACTGCTCCTTTTGTTCTTGGTTCCGCCTGCATTCAGAGACACAGCACTTTGTACATTCCTCATAAAAAACGAACAAACAAACAAACAAAAACCCAACCAAGATTGCATCAAAGAAAATACCAGACTCTATCAATTTCCTCCACCAGCTGGAACATCCTCAGGGCCCCAAATTTTGACTAGCTGGTCAGGTCGAAAAGGGACAATAATAATTTAAAAATTAAAACATAATTAAAAAATTATCAAAGTTGCCTGACAAGTGTCCACAAAAAAGATATAAACAGGATAGTTTATTTTGCATCTCACAAAGACTATTGCGTGTGTGAATCTTAATGAGATGATTAGCAAATGACCTAAAAAAATCAAGTCTATGAGACAGATTCTGTTATTCAACTTGATTAATATCTTTAGGATAACATTTTCTAAATATTCTAATTGAATTAGGAGCCTAAGTCTTATTTTCAAAAGTGATTTAGATGACTAGGTCCAGATTTTTAAGAGTATTTAGGCACTTAAAGATGCAGACAGGTGCCTTGTGGGATTTTCAAAATCACCTACGTGCCTAATTCCAATGATAAAGTTAGATGTTCTTAAAAATCCCAAGTACCTATCTGCATCTTTAGGCACCTAAATATCTTTTTTTTTTTTTTTAAATGTGGCCCTTCGGCCTTGCAACATTTGGTAGAAGAATGCCTAAATACCTTTTAAAACTTTGAACCCAGGTCTCTTGAAAGTGAGACTTAGGCTCCTATGTCATATACCTGCTCTAAAAAATTTTGCCCTTACTTTAAAAAGCTCCATTGATTTCACTGGGACAATTGCAGGGTAAAGGACAACTCAGAGTGCGCTAAGGTATTGGAAACTGACCCTACATTAGGATATTCAGTATGTGAAGGGAACAGACATGCTGAGCAGGGCTGCCAAGTTTTATCAAAATTGTGGTCGTCCTTTAAAAAACATCCCTAGCTTTTAAATGATCTTTTATCTTCATGCTTTGTCTGAATGTCTGGTTCCTCTAGATCCATGAAGATCTACAGATCAAAACTTTTTGAGCAATATGGTTTAAACAAGTTTTGTCTTACATAGAGAAACACTATTTGTCAGGACTAACTTCATTAAGTAAATTCACTTTTGTGCCTCAAAGTAAATTGAAGTGATTGATAGTTCTGTTAACATGGTGTGTGCCTTGTGATGCAAGTTCTACATCCAACAGAGCACCTACATAACCATATAGCCAAGTGTGGTTTATCCTCGCATATGGTTCAAAATTCACATAACAAAAAAGCCTTTTAGATAATGTTAAGTATCTGAAGCAAATTCACAAAAGCAAGGAAATTGTTAGTGAAGGATTAATCTTCTCCTACCTGAGTATAACAGGTGTTGGAGAACATTAAAGTGGCACCCCATAGTGGCTCAGTATGGGAGGCTTAATGCTTAACCATGCGTTTTCTGGCTTTTGTGTTTTGGTTTCAGAATTTAACCCCTACATAGCCAAAGAATTGTGTTGGATTTTAGATATGTTGTTTCTACCTTACCCTCGTTCTGCACTGATGAGCCATAGTATGTGTATTTTGCTGTGTGCAAATTAACTACAACCAGAACATACTCCAATGCTGCCATTAACTACAACCAGAACATACTCCAATGTTTTTTTGAACCAAAAATGTGGGTTGTACATGACCCAAAAAGATTAATGTTGTTTTTTGATACCTGAATCATCTCAGTTTTTAAAAAGTGTTATTAATATAGTAAGGTTTTTGGATGTGCAGTTGTGCATTATAACTTCTTATGGGACAGCTTTTATGTGTACAATAATTGTTTTTTAGAGTTTATTGTATGAGGAGCTTCTCTTCTTCCAACTTTTGTTTTTATTAATAAGTTTGGCTAGTGGTTAGAATTGTTTGTCCAACTGTTCAGAGTTTCTTCCAGGCTCTGTGACAGATTTGCTTTCTGACCTTAATCAAGTACTTAACTACTCTGTGCCTTTGTTAGTCAGTCTGTAAACTGGGGATAAGGGGTAAAATGTGGCCAAAGTCACTTTTGAAAATGGGACTTAGATCCGCAAAGGAGACTTAGTCTCAGTGTTGCAATGCCTAATATTTTGGCACCCTGCTTCCTAGTGGAAGTTAGGCACCAAGGCTCCCTATACAATGCATGAGGAGAGTTAGAAGCCTAAGAATGGGATCCACGAACACGAGCATGCTGAGCCGGGAGCCGCCTATGCTAGCCAATAGGTAATACCAAGGAGGGATGTTTGGCCTAAGTCATGACCTCAAAGACTCTTAAGTGCCTAACTGGACTGGAGGTAGGTGTCTCCCTCTGCTTGAAATTCACAGCCATGAACTTCCCCCCAACCCCCAGAGTGCCTAGCCCTTTCCCATACGGAGGAGTAGGTGCCCCTCTTTTACCCAGTAGTTAGAGCACTCAGCCAGGATGCAGGAGACCAGGGTTCAGTTTCCCCCCGCCGGATGTGGAGCA